GCCCTCATATTTCATTCTTAATTGTCTGGATTTGAGTCCCCCATTTTATTGATAACATTGTCTAAAATTTTAATAATTTTATTGATTCTTTCAATGAGCAAACTCTTCATTTCATTGATTCTTCATACATTTTCTTTATCTACAGTGCATTAATTTCTGCTGAGAACATTATTATTTTATTCTCCAAACTAGCTTAAGTTTTGGTCTGTTCCTTTTCCAGAATTTTGATTTTCAATAGTAAATTGCTTATTTTCACTTGCCCTGTTTATTGGATATGAGGGCTGGGCACTAAACATCTCCCTCTTAGGAGCCCTATAATTGCTTATCATAAGTTCTGGCACGTTGTGCTATTGTCAGCCAATGGCAGAAACTGTGTTTTGTTTCCTTTAGCCTTATCTGTGACCCATTTGTTATTCTGGAGGATATGAACTAATTCTCGTGTGCTTGTGAAGTTCTTATGGTTTCTTTTTCAATTGAGTTGCAACAGTGAAAGAAATACATACGGGATAATTTTGATTCCTCCGCATTTACTTAAGCATGTTTGCTCAGACAGTATGTGGTCTAATCTTGCAGAACCTCCCATGTGCTACAAAGAAGAAGTTTGATGGTGATGTTGTGGGTTAGAACTCTCTGTAGATGTCTATAAGGCCATTTGTGCAAATGTTTGGCTCGATTCTAATATTTAATTGTCATTTTCTTCTAGCTAATCTGTCTTCTGTGACAATGGATTATTAAAATCCCCCAATAGAATTGTATTCATGCCTGTTTGATTTTTCATATTTGTTAGTATTTGCTTTATATAGTTTGGCACACTGATATCCATTGCATACATATTTATGATTGTTAATTCTTCCTCTTGGATTCTTCCCTTTACAAGGATGTAGTCACTTGTTCTCTCTCTCTCTCTCTCTCTCTCTCTCTGTCTCTCTCTCTCTCTCTCTCTCTGTATTTGGTTGTTGCCTGGTCTCACTATGCAGCGCAGACTCATAGTGATCCTCCTGTTTTCAGCCTCCCCAGTGCTGCAATTACAGGCATGCACCACTACTGGCCAGGTCAGCTAGCACTGAGGGTGGAGTTTTGTGGCATGTAGTGCTGGGATCGAACTGTGGTCCCTGTTCTTGCCTAAACTTGCCTAAGAAGGCACTTTTGTCAGTTAAACTACCTTACTGTACCCAGATTTTGTCTCTCACTATCAGTCTTGGCTTGAAATTCACTTCTCCTGCAAATACAATAGCTATCCCTGCTTTTTTTACTAGATTCCTGCCACATGGAGTATAGTTTTGTGTCAAGTTTCAGTCTATGAATTTCTTTTGAATTAAATGTGTTTCTTGTCTGCAACACATGTTTTGGGTCTTGTTTCTTGTCCATTGTAACAGGCTGTGTCTTTGGATTGAGACCATTAACATTGGTGGTTATAGCTGATACACACTAGCTTTTCCTTGTGGCCTTATTTCCCTGTTGTTGCCCTCCACCTCTGTTTCATTGTCTGCCCGGCCATGTAGATACATTGTTTTTCAGTTTTTCAAACTGTGTTTCATGGAGTTGTATACCTTGTTATCTCTCTCTAGAATGTTCTTCAAAACTTTTAGTAGTGCTAGTTTGTTGTTCAAATATTTCCTCAGACATTCTTTATCATGAAAGGAACTTATCTCTCCATCAGTTTTGTAACTTAGTTTTGTGGGGAATATCAATTTGGGTTCAAGGTTGTTTTTATTTACAGCTTGAAATACTTTGCACCTGGCAAATTTGTACTGAAAGGTGAGGTGTGATTTTGATGGGCTTTTCTTCATAGATGAGTTGTTTCTCATCCCTCGCTGTTTCAAAATTGTACTCTTGAACTGACTTTCTGGAATCATGACTATGATATGCCTGGGTGTAGAATTTTGATCATGGATAATTTTGTTTTATATATTTCACTTACTGTATGGCAAATTGTCTTTCTCTTCCAAGGGAATTTTCTGCAATTATGTCTGAACACTTTTTAATATTTGTTCTATCTCATGCTTTTTCATTGATTCCAATCAATCTTGTTATTCTTTTTTGCATTATCTATTAGCTGCTGAAATGATTTCTTATGTCCTTTGCTGTTTTTCATTACTCTTTTTCTTATCGTCAACCACAGCCTGTCTTCCATGTCTGACATTCTGTCCTCACCTTGACTTACTGCGCTGCAGATATTTCAATGGAATTTTTATGCTTCTAGATGCCTTCTTCAATCTGACTTCTGAATCTCATTTCTTTGTTGGTCTGCATGACATTCATCATTTTCTTAAGTTCCTTTATTTTTTAAAATTTACACCTGCTATAGAGTCACTAAGCATGGTTTTCATTGCAGACCTCCTCTCTACAGTTATCGGCAAAATTATTTTTAATTTAATTTTTCTTTAGCCTCAAACAATTGTTTTGCCACTACCATGTCAAAGAGGTCAGATGAGAGCCTTTTGGACTGTCCCGCTCTATTAGCCCCAGCTTTGACTACGTGAACTAGATATCTGGTATTGCATCTTGCCTAGATACGTACTCAATTTCCTTTTTTTTTTTTTTTGGTTTAATTCCTGGTTTGATGCATGTGCATTTCTTACGGTGATTTGTATTTTGCTAGAATTTAAAAGGCCTAACAAATGACTACTCCTCCAAAGTGTCTTCTGGGTATAAAGTTTTAGGTTTTGAGGTTGTTGCAAGATCATACCTCTTTAATTTTGGGGGGATGAGAACTCATAGCTCTTGGCCACACCTCTGCTTCTTCGGCCCTGGCAGATAGTATTTTCTACGACCATTAGGCAGTTCCAGTCTTAGAATACCAGGAAGAACAGCTGGTTAGAAGTTATGTTACGTTTGGATTAAGTGATTTTAGCAATAATAGCACCAAACTCCGCCCAGAACATGACAAACTGAGGTAACCGTTAGTCTTCACCTTTAACTATATGAGCTAATTTTGTGGATACATGACAATGTCTAAACAAGCAATAAAATTATTTGCAATATATACATTTAATAAGCCAATTTTAACCCTGGTAGTTAAAATTAAAAAGGGCTTAGGGAAAAGGAGAAGCAGAAAAAGAGGAAGAGATGAGAAGTATGGATGGAGGACAAAGAATGAACATTCTTTCTTTGGGAAACTGGTGCAGAAGACAGGAGGAAAAGAAAAGAACAAAATAAAGCACGGCAACCACCACAAGCAGGCTAGAAAGCACATTCACACTCATTTAGAAACAAGATCAATGAAAGAAAAATAGAACAAAGAACCAAAACAAAATAACCACCACCACTACAGGGTGAAAAACATGAAAGAGAGGAAAGCAAAACACCCCCTTCCATGTGCGGCTCAGCTGTCGCCAGTAGACAACACGTAGAGACAGAGTCCAGATCAGTGTCGATTTGTTTCAGCAGGCCAGCGGTAGCTTTATGGCAGGGGACTGTGTAATCTGAACAAGCTTGCACCTTTATGTTACCTGGAGTTCAGGTTTGCACCTGCCGTTGGAGCTGCGACCAGACCATTCAGCCTGAAGCTGTCGGTGTGACTCCTGCCAACTTGCATGCAGTGCAGGGCCCCGCGGAGAACGCAGCGCTTGTTCGGAGTTCTGAGCTCAGTGGGTCCCTCTCCGCGATGGCTCGCGGCGAGCGCCTTCTCCTGCACTAGGCCAAGTCCTCCGTGCGCACCCCTAGCTAATGCTGTCCTTCACACGCACCGTTGGCTTCCGCCTTTGGACCCTCTGCGGAGGCCTTCGGGGTTGGCGCAGTCATCGCGGCCTGCAGGTTTGGACTGTCCCTGCCACGCTGTGAGTCCTCACTCAGAGAGAAGGCTCCCTCAGCTACCTCCCACTCTTGCACTGAAGTCTCTCTCCTCACACGCCCCGTGGGCTTCGCTTCTCCTTAAAGTCCTTCCTGGGTCCAGGGGCTCCCCGCCTGCTCTTCTCCTCACCTCGCTGCCTCCCAGTGCCGGCAGCAGTTCTCCAGGGTGCGCCTTCTCTGCTTCTTAGGTCTACACCATCTTGCCTCGAGCTATTGTCCCATCTGACCAGAATATTACGAAGTTGCAGCACGCATTTAGAACGTCCCCTTGAAAGTTAACATGGAGGAAGTACATTATTTAGAAACTGCAGAAAAATATTTCAGTGTAAATCATCATGTAATTAAGTAAATTTATTCCATAAGCTCTAACCATTGCACAAATTTATTGTAATTTGGGCTAGTTTACTAAACCTGCATTACACAAACTAAAGAATGAACTTCATGAGATACATGACGGGATCACAATGTAACAGAAAAGTTTCCACTTTTAACACAGTGAAAACATGAATGAGTCCACTGACTTTCTTCCTGTCAAATTTCTTTCCCTCATTTCCAACATAATTTACATGGGTCCTGCCACTTCTGATAGAGTTCTGGTGATATCATTAGATGTGGGAAAAATACTTTGAATTCTGTTGTACAGTATCTTCTTTTTGAAAAAAAAAATACGTTTTGCTCTGCTATCTTCACCACCTCTGGCACCAGGCATAACCCGGCTCTTTTCCACGATCAGAATCACCACGGAAAGCAAAGGGCTTGAACTAATTCAGCTCACAAAAGGGGCTGCAGAAGCTCAAACTAATGACAACAAAGAACTGCTAAAAAATGGGCAAGAGAGACAGGACAAATATTCTCAAACAAGATGAAGGATTTTGAGAGGGTTCATGGAAATACCTTTCACTGTGTTACTATTTACAAAATAAAACATTCAGCAAAACATTTGATCATAGCTCATGTATTGAAAGATTTCAAAGTTTTCCTTATTTCATTAAAGTTCTCCATGTGACTAAAAATATCATCCTCATATCAATGATAAATGTAAGGTCATTATTTTGGAATTTAAGAATTAAGACAAATAAAAATTATTTAATTTTCTTAGTACCTTAAGAATTATAAATCTTAGAGATTAATTTTATCTCCTGAGATCACAGCAGGAGCAATTTTTCTAGTGGCTATCCCCATTTCAACATATTCAGGCATTTAACTCCCTACATTTTTGCATAGCAGATTCTCCGACTGACTCTTCCCAGGGCCCCCAGCACCTCCTTGTTCCTCAGGCTGTAGATCACAGGGTTCAGCATCGGGGTGAGGATGGAGTAGAAGACAGCCAGGACCTTGTCCTCTGCTGGAGATCGGAGGGACTTTGGGCGGAGGTAAGTGTAGGCAAACGGTGCATAGTAGAAAGTCACCACGGTGAGGTGGGTGCTGCAGGTAGAGTAGGCCTTCTTCCTGCCTTCTTGTGAGTGCATGCGGTAGACAGCAAGGAGAACCCTACCATAGGAACACAGAATACCCAGGAAAGGAAACAAGAGAAGTAAAATGGCACTCACAAACACTGTGTACTCATAGACTCTGGTGTCTGTGCAGGCCAGTGTCAGCACGGCTGGGACATCACAGAAAAAATGATTGATGGCTCTGGACTGGCAGTAAGGAATACGGAACACATACGATGTGTGAGCCCAAGCATTGATAAGACCCACTGCCAGGGATCCGAGGATCATCAGGAGACACATCCTAGTGTTCATGCGGATGGGGTAGTGCAGAGGAGAGCAGATGGCCACGTAGCGGTCATAGGCCATGGACATCAGAATCAGCGCTTCTGCACCTGCTAAAGTCGTGAAGAAGAAACTCTGAACCCAACACCCGATGAACGAGATGGACTTGATCCCCGATAGGAACCCGGACGCCATCTTGGGCACAGTGGTGCAGACGTAAATGAGGTCCATGAGGGAGAGCTGGCTGAGCAGGAGGTACATGGGTGTGTGGAGGTGGGCGTCCAGGAGGATGAGCAGGACCATGCACAGGTTGCCAGCCAGGGCCATCAGGAAGACGGAGAAGGTGAGCGTGAAGAAGATGAGGCCAGCCCTTGATGGGGGGAACAGGCCCAGGAGGACGAAGTCAGTCGAGGGCTGCGTGTAGTTTTCCATGCTGTATTTCTGTAGCTTGTCCTGAAGACAGACACAACAGCAAATATAAATCATCATCAAATTTGACAATTTCTCTAGTGTAATTACCCTGCTATTTATTTCTGAATCATATGCTTTTTAAATAAAGGCTGCACTTTGTGAGAGAAAGATCCATTTTTGTACTGACTACTGTTATATGAAACAACCATGTATGACCTAATGTTTTAGAACAAAACTAAAAATTTACTGGATATTTCTATTACAACCTCAAGACTAATAAATGACTTACTACAACATACTAACAAATTGTAAATTCTGAATTATGTTTTAAAGTTATACTAGAGAGGTTTGGAGCCAGCTCACTGATCTGAGCACCTGTCTGGCAAGCACAAGGACCCAGATTTGATCCCTGGAATCTCATGCTGTGCTGGCCCCAGAACCCTGGGCATGGTGAGGCACACTTGTAATCCGAGCTCTGGGGAGGCTGAGACAGGAGGATCACTATGAATCTGAGCTATGTAGGGAGACCCTCTGAAAAATAAATAAAAGGTAAAAATATTTTAAAAGTTATATTAGAAAATCCCTGTGAAGGCTGGGGAGATGGCTCAGTGGAATAAGCACTTCCCTGGCAAGCGCAAGGACCTGAGTTCAATCCCCGGTTCTGAAAAAAAAAAAAAATCCCTGTGAATACACATGTTACAACCATTTTAATAAAGTTTTATACACAAGGATGGTTATTTTCTTAAACACAAATTTTTCAGGCTTCATTCAAGTACCATTTTATCTTTGTTCACAGTCTTGTTTGCAAACAATTTAGTTGGCAATCACAAATGTTTGGCCAATTTTTATATGCATTTGCAAAGTCTGCATTCAGTGTCAAGCATTACCACCTCCAAGTCCTTCACGCCAACATAGGAATGACCAATTTTCCCAAGTCATACAAGAAATTAAATTCTTAAACTGCATTAGTACTGTATTTTACTATGCTAGCTTTGCTTTTATTTAAATATATCCACTTTTCTGGTAATCTTTGCTGACAAATCCCATATCTAGCTTTTTAAATGTCAGGATTTTGATTGTAGAGTTCTTTTGATCAGAAATGTAGACTATGATGGGATTGTCACACTCCTTATAAAAGTAAACACAATTCACACGTTTTCTTTTTAGTGTTGCCTTCACTCTGTCTCTTTCTCCTAATTTTTCAAAGTAGGAGCTTTTTCAAACCCTGAACATCTCCTTAGCAGCCACCCAAATGTAAGCTCTGGTAGGGCTGAGACAGGACAGTCACTATGAGTCAGAGCTGCACAGTGAGACCCTGCACTAAATAAATCTTTAAACAAAAGAGACATCCAAATGAATAATGATGCAAGGAAAAATGAGAAATCTCAATAGAATTCATGAAGGGATAACATTGCTTATTTTGCAGGAGAGCTTTCTCCAAAGAACCAAATAAGAATTTATTTTTTATAATGATGCAGAGCATTTGGACAATATTTTTCTGCATTTTTGTGAGATGTAGAAATGATGCTGCCACTGTGGAAAAATAGTATAGATGTGGGCTGAAACATGCAGATAATTTTAACATGAGCTAGTAGGTTCACCAATGAATGGTACCCCAAACAGTTAACGCAGACACGCAGGGGCCATCTGTGCGGATGTTCTTATAACAACATATTTTTTCCCAGACACATGAAGGTGAAAACAACTTAATTTTTCTTTTTCAGACAAGTCTACAAGCAAAATGTCCCAAATGTAATATACTCCATTTTTCATAAGTAAAAACTAAGGACACTTGCTGCAACATGGATAAATGCTAGTGACATTGTACGTAGTGGAATAAGCCAACCACATAAAGGCGCATTCTGAGTATACACTTTTATGAAGTACACTCTGCG